TGGGAGGTGAGAGCGAGCGGTGTGGGAGGTGAGAGCGGGGCTTGGGGGGAGGGGGTGAGAGAGCAGATGTTAGGGGAGGTGCGAGCGATATTTGCATTCATTATCACGAATACACTGCAATTACTCAGTGTATGATCAGAAATTATAGGCAACTTTAAATATTTTACTTACATTTATGATAAACTCTGTTGGTAATTTTCCTTTTAGACACGTATTATAACATGATTAGTTAAACCCCGTGACGTTGTTGAGGGGGTGAGAGAAGATGAGGGCTGATAGATCATGAAGAAGATCGTGAGATCGTTGAGAAGATCGTGGCAAGGTACGAGCTTATGGTAGAGTATGGGTGGGGGTCGTAGTAGGGTATGCGACAGAGCAACAGAGAGAGAGAGGGAGAGAGAGAGAGAGAGAGAGAGAGAGAGAGAGAGGGAGAGAGAGAGAGAGAGGGGGGGGAGTATAGACGGTTTCAGAGTATATGTGAATGTTAGCGTCTAAATATCTATTAGTCTAGGGTCTTCGCCCTTGGTAGAGGCAGGGGCACATGGTAATCAATAGATGTCTTATTAGGTGTCGTGCTAGCATGTGGCGGCATATGAGGGTAATAAGCTGTATATGATTGTATGTTGCGCTTTTCGGCGTATACATATAGCAGCAAGAGCAGTGACCATGCTCAACAAGATCTTACCTACAATAGAGAACTCGTTAGTTAACCCAATACTTGGCTCTAGTTACTACAGCTCTGCTCGGTCACATTCTGTGGTAAAGCGATAGCCTACGGGTAAAGCTAAGGATACTGTAGCCTTCCCTACACAATGCGCAGCAGTGCAGCAAGGAGGGGTCCAAATTACTAACGGTGGGTCTGAATTGTTGGGTCCAAACTACGGTGGGTCCGAATTACTAGCTTCGGCAAGGAGGATCTAGCTCTAGAACTATAACCCTTCGCTTCGCCACAGGCCCTGCGGAGCGATGGGCTATAGTTCTAGAGCTATATCTCACCCAGTACTGTTAATCTACTGCCGTGCGATCACAACACCGTTCACGTCATTGATAGCTTGTATCGATATTACTCCACGGTTACAGGAGACGATTCTCGCATACTCGCTAATGTACGCAACGCCCGCCGGCCTAGCTACTATACGACTCCCGCTTACGTAATATTGGGCTGGCTCTCTCTAGATGATTACTGGTGTTGTCTGTCTTGTCTGGGTGATTACTAGGGCTGCCGTCCGGTGATAAGGTGTACAATTACGTTGTGGGAAGAATTCATGGACGTGAAGTCAATTCCGGGTCATAGACCTCGTCACAGGCACGGGCACGCGTGCACCTTTGCGCACACGCCGTACCTATGCGCACTCACGTACGCAAACGCAGTCTACACGCACGCGCACGCACACGCATATACATACACATAGGCGTGCCGCTGCCACATAGGTACATTCTAGTAACCCTACCCATGTGGTGGAGCTAAGGGCTTCCAGGACTCTCCAGGGGTGCTATCCAAACCTCGAAAGCACAGCGTGTACACACACGCGTGTATGACACGCCCCTGAACTATAGTTTACCGCGCGAGAAGGAATAAGAAGCAATATTCGGCACTCATACACTGAACACAGAAGAACGCTAGTAGCGAGATCTCACCTGCACTTGACAGACACAACGCCACCGTCGCTAACGTCGCCAGCCGGAGGTCAATCATCGTGGAGCCGACGTCGGGAGATGTATGTAATACGTACGCTGACCTCTGACACGGTAGAACTCGCGCGCGGGTACACGCACGCACGCACACACAATCACGCACACACGAACGCACGTACGATGATAATTCTCGCCGACTTCTCTTCGCTCAGATGGCCACCAGCAAACAGCAGCAGGGAACGGGCAGCGAACAATTATTGTCAAACCAGCGACGCCGACGTTCGAACAGCGGATATTAACCGGCGAAACTATGCGCAGCGGCGCTTGAAACGGTCACGTGACGCCGCGCCCGAACGCTGATTGGTCGCAGCCGGCGTCAGAGGAAACGTTGGTAACAAACGGTGCGGGAGCGCCACGCACCTGTCGCAGACGCGCAGTTAACCTCGACGCGCCCCCTCGTGGTAACACCTGTTATGAACTTACCTGTATTAGAGGTAAGGCATGTGGTTCGAGCTGGTGCTGTTTTTGTAGGCGGTTGAACTTTTTTGTTAGTGGATGTTTTTGAGATGAGTATGTTTCATGGTTCGAGCCAAGAGTCAAGATTTAAATTTAGGGTTAAGACGTTTAGGTTAGCGTTTAGGTCAGTGATATGCGACGATGGGGATTAAGGTTAGTGTTAATGTTAGCATAAGGTTTAGAGTTAGCGTTGTTTTTATTTAGTGTTAGATTTAGAAAAAAGGAAGAAGTTTGTCAGGAAAAATGGAAAAGCGCACGCAGAACTATAACTACTGGCAATTTTTTTGCAATGGAGGACTTACAATCACTCACAAGGCCAACTACGGAGGAAGAGTAATCTAACCCCTCTCTCTAAGACTTCTGGAATCTACGAATAGTGTGAGCTATATCGCAATTCTGGGTCGTTGTGTCTTGGTTATTATTAGCCCGACCAGGTTTTACAACTGTTTCACTTAGTGAGAAGCGAAAAGGTAACTTGTGGCTACGTTATTATATACTCCGCTGGTTGACGTGGTCCCCGCCAGGTTAGGGAGTCAGGTAACCTCTATAATATAGGAATAACCTATATACTGGTCTCTATATATATTAACACATGTTCATCAGTGACGTAACCACTGTCATTATGTACAGAAAACCCAAACTCCACGACAGATGGCGCTCTCGCTCTCGCTCTCGCTCTCGCTCTCACTCCCGCTCACGAGTATCATGTGTGTACGAAGGGCCACTGCATGCAGTTTGCAAGAAACCAACGAACATCACGTATCTTCGCCGGCGATACTGGCGCCCTCGCGTAGCAGTGAGAGCTTTCAAATCATTTCGTGGTAGCATATGTACATCACGCTACGTTTTCCCTGCTCGGCATTGGCCGGGAGCTTTGAACAACAGATTGTAAGTGCGACCATGGACAAGCTTTCTGTTCGTGTAACTCTTGCAATCGACCATTGGCAGATTGTAAATCTCGCATGACATCGTGTAGAACCCATTCCGACACCCACCACCACGCCACGACTTTTGTCTTGTTAACACTATAGGTGAATGGATCCTCTAATCCTCCCAGCTTGTGCTGTTAAGTGCGTAAGGTAATCCCTAAGACCACGTGGGTTCGTGTGTGAACGCGGTGAACGGGAAGTAACGCCGTGGATCAACTCCGTAGATTAACTCTGCAGCATAAACTCGTAGCTTAAATCCGTAACCCAACCGCGCTTGTATCCTGAGAATCGGGGAGAAATACGCCCTTATATATACCCTTATACAGAGCCGTAGCTATAGTGGGAGACTAGTTGCCCCCACATAGAAAAAAATAAGTGCAATGGCGGTCACCTGTCCAGAACACACCGCGCAAGTGGCTCTGCCCCCCAGGAAAAATGGGTTAGCTACAGCCCTGTTAATACGTGTAGTGTTATAAGCGTAAATATCACTTTTCGTACACCGTTCACTACTATATCACTACAATATCACTACTCATGCCACTATTCAATGCGAGGTGAGAACACGCGTGTGCGTGTGTAGAAATGAACTGACTTCCTGCTCGTATGAAACCAGGAGCCAGATTTTTCCTCGTAACAGATGAGCCATTATGTGCGCCCTGTGCTATAGAAACTTAAAAACGTTAACTTTCAACCCCGTCAATGCACTATTTATCTATATTTTTACTAACTCGAATTATCAAGACAGCCACGATAATATATCAGCATTCATCGGTTTAAATAAGCGCTGCGCAATAGAGACTCCTCCCATTGGCAGACGATTTCGTGATGACGTGAAAGCGGCAGGTTATAATTTCGGATTTTGGATTAGCATTCAGTCCGTGACTTTTGCGCATCCACTCGCGGCACAAGCGCCTGCTCACCACACAATGAGTGTTTACAATGCGTCCCAGTTGAAAAGCAAGGGATGGGGGCAACAGCATTACCATCCGATCACGTCCCGCCACAATTTCACAACACGTATTATAATGTCGAGTAGCATCAATCATTTGCTTTCTTTTCATGTTGACTTTTAGACACGGATGTCTATAAAAAGTTACGCTGCGTTGAAGATTTGTTCGAATTCTGAAAATCCGAAAAATTATGTATCGTCTGACATTCATACGTAAACCGTATAGGCAACGCTTAGACAAGAACGTACAAATTATATTTTTTCAAACATCAGTTAAATAATCTTACCCCAGTATAACTGTTCATTGCATTTAGTGTTTAACCCTAACCATTTTAATGCAGAATTTCAACATGCTTTTGTTGTTTAATTCCACAGCGCTTATTTTAATGCGTCGATTTAATTTTAATTTGGTTTTGATGCGTAATAGTTGATGACAAATCGTCTTGTTAGTAATAATGCTAACCGCTGCGAACTCGTCTGCTTTGGTTTTCAAGAATCTTTACATAATTATATATTAAACACGTAAGCACAAGTATATAAAGCATACAAAATAATAAGCACATATCATAAACTACCTGATTTAACTATCTGAATGAAATCAGGTTTCCGTTTTCATTCATTACTCGCCCCGCTGTCTGCAAGCGCCATATTCATAACACAGATAACACACACATCTATGAATAAACTCAAACGTAATCATCGCTGGGAGCGCATGTCTGTTATCTACGCTCGCATCGTGTCGCATCATCGGTAGTACAATTACGTCATTGTCGTATTAATAGTAGCCGGTAACAGCGGCGCGAACATGCTGTTGGGCGCGAACGAGATAGTTTCAAATGAGTCACCGTCATTATCACCGCAGGCGCTGTCGACGCCGAGTGCTGGTTTATTCTGTCACATCGCAGACGACGCGCTATGCGCATGTAGTATTTTCCCGTAGAATTTACATAATTATTCGTCTATAATTAGACTCGACAATGCTCTTCCTCCGCGCACGAGCGCTGTATTTATAAACACGGTGGAGGCAGCGACACGCCGTGCTATCTACGCTTCCGTTCTCTCCGGCCGGCCTCTCTGCGTCAACGTTACGCGCATATATGTAATTTTGATATGTCTGTACGATTGCGGGGCATCGGAGGGGACCCTACGGACCTGTTTTACCTGCCCCCGTCGTCACGCTCGAGTACGCCATTGCGCGTTGGCGCGCTCGTTCGGCTTTTAAATCACGTGACCGGCTTTGAATTCTCCGCTGGCAGCAGCAGCAGCGGCAGCGTTCGTCGCACAGCCGCACCTGTTTACAGCATAACAGTGTCGTGCCAGCGATTCGCAGCATCCGGACTGCATACCAGCGAAGCATCGCCACATCAAGTCACTCAGGTGAGGTTGAAGGATCGACGGATTTACATCGGCCGAAGAGTTGAGATAGACAGACCGTCAGAATGAACGTCGCAGAGCTTCTGATCGTCGTAGCAGCGATCTCGTCTGCCGGTGAGTGCGTGTGTGTGTGCGTGAGTGTATGATCGTCTGCTGCGTATGTCGTTATACGCGCGTAGAGCCGACGACAGCAGCAGCAATGGCCGCGTCTCGCAGTACAGGTAGCAGCGTGACCGTGTTGCGCGTCGATATTGTATGCAGTAAGTATTAGAGCTGCGTGCTGTGCACAGCCAGCAGACACGGTAGTAGTCTAGACACAGGTAGTGAGCATACGCATACCGTTATACGGTATATTGTTCGCTTAGATACTAAAACGCAAGTAGCTAACCCTGCAGGTAAGGTACAGTTAGGTAGCCCTGCCCCTGCAGGTAACGTATGTAGCACAGCATACGCAAACCTGTATGCAGGTGTCCGGTGTGTGTGTGTGTGTGTGTGTGTGTGTGTGTGTGTGTGTGTGTGTGTGTGTGTGTGTGTGTG